AAAGCATAGGTCGAGTTAAAAAAAGCGTTAATTACTACTATATATTATAGATCCCTTAGCTCTAATAAGGGATAGAGGTACCGCTAAAAGCGGCAATAAGATAGCTAACTTTAGTAGCTATCTAATTAAAGTTATATAATTCATAAAGTATAAAAAGCAAAGAAGGCATAATATAAGTAATTTAATCTAAGTTAATTCTTCCTAACTAATAGCTATTAGATTTGACTATTATAGCGTTAGATCCGTTACGTGGGGAACCTATATAACTAGGGCATGTAACACGATATATATACTATAATAATAGTCCTTATAGGAGATCTATAAGATTTCTTTATATTAGGGGTATATTAATTAGGTATACTTATTATCCCTTATATTATAGCGTAGTCCCTATTATAAGTTTATAGCTATTTCTTTATAGTATACTTAAATAGGGATATCTTTTATATCTAAGTTATTTTCCTTTTCTTATTTTATTAATCTAGAGGTTTTTAATTCCCTTTAAGTAATTCTAAGGATTTATTCTTATTATTTCTTAATTTTATAGTTATTTTATTTATACTTATATATTGCCTTATATAGGTCTTTATTATATCGTGCTCTTATAATACTAATAGAGTTATATTAATAAAAAACTTAGTATCTCTCTATTTTATAACATATATAATAAGTATGCGATATATCTAAGTATATAATATACTTTTTATTACCCTAAAGGATTTAAATTATAATAAAAACGCAATAAATTAATTAATTAATTAATATTACTTATTATATTCTTCCCTAGATATCTTAATTATTACTTAATATATTTTTATATTATGCCTAGGCTTACCATATATATTATATCGCTAAATACCCGGTCTAATTAACCTTCCCTGACTACTACCTCTTAACAATTCTATAATTACCTACGTATTAATATCTATCTATTTAATTACTTACCTTACTTAATCTACTATTATTACCCCTCTTTTCTATAATTTAGTCCTTTTGACCCTTTAGCGCTAGCTTAGTATCTTATTTACTTACCGAAGGTCTTAGTTTTTAGTAATTAATAAGGTAACCTTATATATAATTACTTTTATCCCTTTCTTAAGAGACTTTATAGCTATAATAATTAACTCTAGATAGCTATTATAATGCCTCTTAATTTATCTTTCGAGGTATTTAGACTAAGATCTAGCCTTAAGTATAGTCTTTAGGGTCTTTAAGACCTAAGGGGTTATAGGGCTAATTACCTCCTCGGTAGGTATTAGAGTCTATAGCTATATATTAAGCTTTAAGACTATACTTTCTAGGTTAAGAGGGATAAGCCTAATTCCTCTAAAGGCTAACTTAATATTTCTTTCTATTATAATAGCCTAATATATAGCATAGAAGGCTAGAAAGAACTTAGTCTTAGAAATATAGGTTATAAAGTATCTAATTAAATGCTCTATTTCTTAATTATAAGCCTACTTAAGTAGGTTAAAGTACCTAATATTAAGAGGCTAAAGTAGATAAGATAAATAAGGCGGTATATAAAGTATAATAATTTTCTTTTCCTTATAATATCTCTTAAAGTTAATAGAATAATAATTTTTATAGCTATCGAGGATTAAAAAATAATAAGAATTAATTAATTAGTTATTTATATACCGGTTAAAGTATTTTAGCTACTTAAGACTAATATTATTATTAATCTAACTATTTTAGCTTATTATAATAGCCTAATCGCCCGGGAGGTTATTTTCTTAGTATTAATTAGCGAGGTAATATTAGCTTATATTAATAATAAATAGTTAGATTACCTAGCCTTTTATATTAATCGCCTAAATAATTATAATCTATTCCTAGTTTCTAGGCTATATTGATTTTAGCTTTCTATGCCTATTTATACCTATGATAATTATTCCGCTTTGAATTATACCTATTATAAAGCTAGTTTTATTAAAGTTCTAGATATTATCTAATTAGATATTATACTTCGCGATTATATTTATTATAAGCCTAAATTAATTATAAATAATAATTAGATCTTTATATTTAGCTCTTTAGTAATTATATTTATAAAAAAAATACGTCTTAAGCTCTTAATATTATATAATAAAGTTATAAGCCTAGCGCTTATTAATAGGTGGCGCGTCGCGGTTAGCGAGTAGTCGGTTAGCTATTTCTTTAATAAAATATAATTACGGGGGAAATCCTCGCGAATCTAAGTTAAGAATAAACTAAATTAGAATTTATTCCTCTAGATTAGATAGTCGGCGTAACTTTAAGATCTAATTATATCGCGATTAAATGCCTTATCTACGATAATATAGCCTTAGCTCAGAGACCTTATAGATCTTTATAGCGCATTAGACGCTTAGCTTTAAGTTATTTTAAAGAGCCTAAAGGGTAAGAAGGGTTCTAGCCTCTATATTTAGGTCTAATATAATTAGTAGTTATAGAATTAATTAATTAAGTAGAAAGTTAGGTATAAGAGGGAAAAGTGCGTCGTATACTTAGATACATCGCATGCTTATTATATATATTACTATAAGTATAGTTTATTATTAGGCTAATATAGTAAGGGAATTAAAAAATAATCTTATTCCTATTTTTCCTTCTTATATTCCTTATACTAATAGTATTAATATAATATCTATAAAATACTAGGGTATTTCTTATATATTAGGTAGGTTTATATATCGTCTTATATATTAAATAGTACTTCTAGGTATTATAAGTCTTTAATTATTATTTAGTAATATACGCGGATATATATATCTTATATATTAGTAGTATTTATATATTCTCTTATAGTCTAAATATATTATTCCCATAATATATTTTAGTATTAATTTCCCTATTTATTATAAAGTTATAAGTAATATTCTTCTTTCTATAGATTATTATCTATCTTAGGGTTTTATTAATTATAAATCTAGGCTATTATTAGTTATTATTAGGCTTTAGCTCCGGCGCTATAGTTAAGATCCTTATTATATCGCTTAATTTATCTTATTACTATAATAATCTTAGTATTAAGGTCTTTATTAGGTTTATTAATTAATTCGGGTAATAATTTCTATCTTAATCTATCTATAAGATAGAACTATTTTATTTTTAAGGGTTTTATTATAATATATTATAGTTTTAGCTAGGGATAGTTATTATGCCTAAATTATTCCTTAGTAAGATATACCTAGCCATAGGGTATAATAATTTCTCCTAGCTCTAGACTAGTATTATTATACCTAGTTTAGGCTATACCGAGTATTTTAGTTATTTAAAGAGCTATTTATAGTTTATTATTAACTTATGCGAACCTTATTTACTTTTTGCCTTTAGGGAGCTATTATTATTATAGCTAATATGTGACGGCAGTCACAGCTATGGGCACCTTAGCCACTGCGCCACGGGGCAAAAGATTGGGCCATAATCGCTATTGTAGCAATTACAGAAGGTGCTTCAACTGCCTATAGGGCTTCAATCGCTGCTACGGGGGACCAAGCCGTAACATAATAGTAGCCCTCCTTAATATTATATTATTTCTTATAATAGATCTTCTTAATATAGTTTATCTTATAATAATATTAGTATTTAAATCTATAGTAATCGCGTTTTTTTTATTAGGTTATTCTAAGTTTTATAAGTCTTATATAGGTTCTATAGGATATATCGTTTTATTAGTATCGCCCTTAGTTAATATTAAACCGAGGCTTTTAATAGTTTTCTTTATTATTATAAGGGTTTTAGAGTTTCTTTTAAGAGAACTATTAGTTATTAATCTTAATTATTTAGCTAATATAATCGATAAGGTTATTAGGCTAATCTTCTTTATAGAGTTTAGCCTATACCTCTTTCTTAAGTTTATTAAAGAAAAAGAATATTAGTAATTCTTAGTCTTAGTTAAGCTTTAAGGCGAGCTAAAGGTACTTAGTGCTATATTTTAATATAGAGTAAGTTTATTAGAGTGCCTTAATTTCTCTTTTTGCCTAGGCCTTTTTATCTATTATTCTAAAAGCTTATTAAAGCATAGCTTTAAAGGCTTTAAAGCTAGAATAGAGGTTTATAGTTTATAGCGAGTATTTATTAAGTAATTTAATAAGGTATTCCTTTATAATAGGTTTAAACTAGGCTATAGTATACTTAGTAAAACGCCTTATAGTATATTAAATCTTATTAGATATTATAATAAACTATATAAAATAATAGAGTATAAATATATATAGTTATATAAGGAATATTAATAATTTATATATAATATTATTAAATTTCTTTAATTATTTTAACTTTAGGATTTCTTTAATATCCTTATCTTTTATAATAATAATTACTATATTATTAATATTCTAGATATTCTTATAATATTATTAGTTTTAAATTTATTAAGTAGCGGCTATATAATTAATAAGCCCTCTAAGTTCTTTTATTTTAATAATTATAATAATAACTTAGGCGTAGAGTTACTTAATTTCTTTATTATTATTATTTATTTCCTCGTCGCTATTAAGGTTAGCTTAAGCTAATATAATAAAAATAAATAAGTAATTAATAGGTAAAACCTATTAATAGTTATTACTAGGAGTAGCCTAAGTAATTATTATATTTAATATTATTTAAGCTAATATAAATAATCCTCTAAATAAGAGTTATTAATATATAATAAAAGGATATTTTTTAAGGGATAAATTAGTTATATTAGGTTTATATTAATAGAAGAGAATATTATATAACCTTAAAGGATAATATAATATTACGTCTAGTAATATACTTAAGGGTATTAAATATAATTAAGTTATATTAATAGCTAAGGTAGCTACTTTATAAGAAGATATAATAAGTGCATTTTATATACTTATAGTTAATCTTTAGACTAATATTCTCTAGGTTTAGTCTAGGGTAGGACTAATATTTCTAGCATTTGGTCCCTAGACCGATGCGGGTGATATTTAGTCCCCTCGGTCCCTTGCTTAGTTAGAGTATTTCTGCTATCTTTCCCCGCCTGGCTTATGTCATGGCCGTGATACTTTGCCCTCTCTTCTCGACATCTCAGTCTTACCGCGCAATACGATCCCTATGCCGCCGACAGGTACCACCAAGAATGCCTCAAGCATCTGACGACCGTCTCGAGCGATTCTTCAGCGCTGACAAACGACGACTTGTTGGCCGCGACAATACTCTTGCGGACCCTTGAAGAACTCGATGTTCCCCTGATTGGCATAGACCACGAAGGCCACCTCCTAGGAATTCAGCTGTTCATGAACACGCCCAATACATCCACGTATCCAAGTAGTCTTCGCCAAGTTTCGTTCTGGATTGGACTTAGACAAGAGATTTACATGAGCTTTGTCGGCCAGAGACCCGTCAAGATCAAGCTCGACCACCTATTCATCGACCGATCATTCTCTCCCGCGGATGACGATACGTGGGCAAATCGCATCATCATTCATTGCGCAGAGGTCATAAACTACTGTTTTGGAGTTGGTGGGCGTAATAGGAACGAGTATCAGGACTTGATCAATTACGATCAGGCTTGGTTGCGGGCTCGACCAGTGTCATGGCTGCCAATAGCCTATAGTGAACCCAACAAGAGTATGGGCGAGGTGTTTCCATACATCGCATATCTCAACCATGCTGTCGGTATGTCAACACCGCTTCCATCAAGGAAAGTCACTGACTCCCCAGTAATCGGCCTTGTACACAGTATCTTTGCGAGGATTCTGCTCATGTGTCACGATGACAGAGCACCACGAATCGGGCCATCCGCTCGACAAGCTCGGAAGAGGATCGACGTAAGTGGTTCTGCTCATCACCCCCGCGTAGTCTAATACAAAATGATTAGGATGACATTCGGACACAAGTCCGAGAGCTCTGTGGTACTGCTCTTTCCAACAAGGCTACCCGGCCCGCAATGTTTACCACGTGTATGGGGATTACAGCGTGCGGGGATCGATTCACTACAGCCAAGGATCAGAGGGCGCTGTTGGACGTGTTGATCTTGGCCGAGGCTGAGCACTCGTGGCCCACTGCCGCGGCACAGGCACACTTGAAGAAAGCCTGGGGGTGGGATTCTGCAGCGGATTCATGATGTGGTTGCCTAGATGTACCAATTTTGTCTGGGTTTGCCAAGATGTTCGACACGTACAGATGCAATGACTTGTGGGGTAGTGAGGAAAAACAGGAATAATAAGGTGAGAGCTACAGTCAAATCAGTCCTATGTATATCTATACCCCATTGTGTTCAAAGATGATATGTGCGCCAACCAGACAAGTTTGGCAATTGGCCGAGATATTATATTCAAGCTCTAACTAACATTTTCCTTCCCGTACTCCTCCACCACCTAAACCTTTCTATCTTCACGACCGAAACCTTCTTCCTTCCCTTAAGTCACTCCTATAACTCAACGACTTAAAAACCTTAATCCCCCCCCCATAGCCGACTTCCCCACTTTACCCACGCAGGTCTTCCTCTCGCTAGGCCTCTCTCAGCTACTAAATCATATCTAGCAGGCTATCGATCTAGGCTATATTTCTCTTTATAACCTCGATAAATAAATACTTATTAGGCTCTTTATCCCTAAGACTTTTAAGTAATAATAGCTCTTAATATTATATAAAGCGCCTAAGGTTCTATAGTGCCCCTAGGCGCTCTAAGGTTATAAATGTGACGATCGTGAGATTCCTAAGGGATAAACCAATTATACTAGGTTTATATTAGCAGAGGAGAATATTATATAACCTTAAAGGGTAATATAAGTTATATCTAATAATATACTTAAGGTATTAAGTATAACTAAATTATATTAATAATTAAGGTAGCTATTATATAAGAAAGTATAATAAGTATATTTTATATACTTTTAGGTTAATCTTATCACGGCTATAATATAAGCCAGGCGGGGAAATATAGCAGAAATACTTTAACTAAGCAAGGGACCAAAGGGACTAAGTATCGCCTATATCGATCTAGGGACTAAATATTAGAAATATTAGTTTTACCTTAGATTAAACCTAGAGAATATTAATCTAAAGATTAACTATAAGTATATAAAATACGCTTATTATATTTTCTTATATAATAGCTACCTTAATTATTAATATAACTTAGTTATATTTAATACCTTAAGTATATTACTAGATATAATATTATATCCCCCTTTAAGGTTATATAATATTCTCCTCTATTAATATAAACCTATATAACTAGTTTATCCCTTAAGAAATATCCTCTTATTATATATTAATAATTCTTATTTAAAGGATTATTTATATTACCTTAAATAATATTAAATATAATAATTACTTAGGCTACTCTTAGTAATAATTATTAATAAATTTTATTTATTAATTATTTACTTATTTTTATTATATTAATTTAGGCTAACGTATATGATAAGCGAGCGTCGCATCCAAGCGAGCGTCGCACTTTTCCCTCTTACACCTAACCTTTCATTTGATCAATTGATTCTCAACCAAAAATCATGTCAGACTCAAATACTGAGGCTAGGACCCTCCTTGCCCTTCAGGCCCTTCAAAATAACCCAAGACTTAGCATCCGACGCGTTGCAAAGACTTATAGGGTCTCTGATCATAGGCTTCGTCGCCGCCAGCAGGGCATTCAATCCCGACGCGATACTATCCCGAATTCACGCCGACTATCTGATCTAGAGGAAGAGATCATAGTTCAGTTTATTCTTGACCTAGATTCACGAGGATTTCCCCCGCGACTGCGTATTATTGAAGAAATGGCCAATCGATTACTCGCCGACCGCGACGCGTTACCCGTCGGCAAGCGCTGGGCTCATAACTTCGTCAGGCGACAGGAAAAGCTGAAGACGCGTTTTTTTCGTAAATACGACTACCAGAGGGCCAAGTGCGAAGATCCAACCGTTATTCGCGATTGGTTTCGGCTCGTGGCGAACGTGATCGCGAAATACGGCATCCGATCAGATGATATCTATAACTTTGACGAGACTGGCTTCCTTATGGGTATGATTGCAAGCGGAATGGTCGTCACAGGTTCAGAAAGACGTGGACGACCAAAATCAGTGCAGCCTGGAAACCGGGAATGGATTACGGTGATTCAGGCGATCAATGCGGAAGGCTGGGCGGTCCAGCCGTTCATCATAGGTGCGGGCCAATATCACCTCGCCAACTGGTACCGAGATAGTAACCTCCCGGGCGATTGGGTAATTGCAACCTCCCAAAATGGCTGGACCGATAACGAGATAGGCTTTGAGTGGCTAAAGCACTTTGATCGGTGTA